ATAATGTAATGGATATAATAATTTTTTATTTAAATAAATAAAATTTAAAGTAAAAATAAAAAATAAAAATTTAAATTTAAATTTAAATTAAAAATAAAAATTTATTCATTATTTAGTTTTGAATGATGAATATACTACTTATCCGTTACTCACATAATTATGAATTCTTCATGGATTTTGATTTCCTTCAACGTGATGAATTTACATCGAAAGTAAATTATCCCTTATTCAAGCGTTTTGAATAGGCCTTATAATAAATAATATTTTTTAATGCATGAAAAAACCTCGCATTAATTATATGAAAAACTAGATGAAATGAGTTACTTTTCACATATAAATGTGATGGACAAAAGATATAAAAAAAACACAAGATTCGATAATGAATAGTTTTTGAGCTATATAGTGTATCAAACCTGCTTTGTGATCATAGCTCAAAAACTATTCATTATTGTGTCTTGTGTCCTTGATTATTTATTTTATTTTCTGTTCGTCACATCATATAATATAAGCTACATTAAGTAAAAACTAATTAATTTCGTCAGGATTCAATTTTCCATGTAATAATTGGGATCCTTTTATATATTAAAAAATATTATTTATACATATAAGATCTATTTAATATTTGGACACAGTGCAATTTATTTTCGATATAGAATTATACTGAAGGAAATCAAAATTAGTACCTGATGAATACATATATTTAATATTCGAAAATAAATGAATTAATAACAAATATGGATACGAACATGAATATACTTTTTTTATATTTCAGAAACGGATAAATATATTTTTCATTCGATTTAAATGAATATTTTTGTAAATATAATTACAAATATTTTTAATTTCGCATTCACTTTCACTCTGCATTATCTACATATAGTTTGCAAGTATTAAAATAAATAGAAATCTGTAAAAATAATAAACCTGGCAGAAGAATAATATTCAGAATTTAAATTGTATAAGTTTCTTTTTTAATTACATAAAGTTATTTATATATATATTTCTGTTACATTTAATTTCTAAATTAACATTTATGAGTTTCCGAGAGAACCACATTTGTAAAGGAATATAAAAAGAATTTAATATATGCGTAATATTTAATTAAAAATTACAGATTTTAAAGACAAGATTTAATAATATCCCAGAAAATATTTTGAGCATAAATATTCAATATATCATATAATAACGATTCAATATATCATGTAATAAAAAAAACTTTATCCCAGTGCGTCGTCATATAGATATGTCCAGGAAATTTTGCGCGCAAAACTCTTGTCATCAATGTGTAAGATACGCGCCAAATCAATAAGCGATAACACAAACATAATATATTCTAACAATAAAAACAAAACTCACGCAAAAATCATGTCAAACGCAAGCAAATAGTTAAATGATACGTTTGCCATCTGCACATAAATTGTTAGTGTATATATGTACATGAACTAGTCTTATACACAATATATATATGACGTAACATGTCTTACAAACAAAATTCACGCAAATCTTTTGCAAAGTTTGCATACATAATGCACGCAAAATTTGCACGCAAAAATTGTTATCTGGGGTGTTATTTAATCGCTTTGAATTAAAGCGTTACATTTAAAGGGTAACAGTTATTGCTTATTTTAGAGTCTTCTTTTTAATTTACATTTTGTCTGAATACTTTAAATGAATATGAATAAAGAAAAGCTCCCTTATATTATGAGATAGCAGCGTTTCTGCTAAACTAATAAATGTTATCTATTGATTCCACCATGAATTTATTGTTCTTGGATTGAAAATTATTTAGTAGAAAATTCATTATTAAATCATGCCTGTAGTTATTGTAAAACAAGATTTTAGAATTTGGATGTCCTTAAGTTTCATTAAGCATGAGCATTTAAACTTTGTTTATTATAACTTTGTTTATTTAATAAATAAATATTTGGCAATAAATTCTTCAAGTAGTGACAGAGTAAGGTCGTACTAATATAAAGATACGGGATATGTTGAATTGTTTAATTACAGATGTTAGATTTGATGATCGTAAAACTATAAGGCATGGAAATCGTAATGAGATACCTAGGATATTCTTAATATGAAGTAATCCATGCTCTTATATTATAATGAAAATTGTTGCTAAAGTATAAATTATTGTATATATACAATAATAAAAAAGACAACCGCAATGAACGTCGAGTGCCTATATCTGCGATGCTTGATTCCAACTACCTGAAAACAAGTTCTGGATATAATCTATCGCATACTTATTTTTTGCACACGTTGGCACTTGTTTGTATTTTAGAAACATTAAATAAAGTTTTTTAATTACAATACTGATATATTTTACGTTTTACTATCGATTTCTCGGGGCATCTCATATTAGAAGCACAATTTTTTGACTTTGCAATTTGCTCACTTTTTACATTTCTTTAATTTAAAAAAAATGGAATTTGAATTAAATTTTATGTAATCTTAAAGTTTATTAAATTTCCTTCAAAATGACTTATTATTTTTTTAAATTCTGCCTATAGATTTCTAGCATTTACCCAAAATAAACTCGGTATTTCATAATAGAAGCATTTCCTCTACTCATAAAATAATCATAATATTTTCATGAATAAATTTTTTTGAAAACAATTGATTTTACGAAACATACATATTTTTTTTAAATAAAAATTTTGAATAAGTACAATTTGTAGTTCAAATTTTTGTGTTTATCGGGCATACTAATCAAAATCCGTAAGGAATCCTTTATGATCTCCTTGCCAATCTAAGTAATTTAAATTTGTTTCTTTATTCTTATTAATTTTTATTTATCACTTTATTTTAAATGACTATATTTATTTTATTGATTTGAATTTATCTTATTGATTATTTAATATTGACTAAGAGTATGTTCTGAATTAGTTCCATGAAACGCATAATCCATAATGTATCATTATACCCTTCTTTATTATTTGATGAACAACAATGACAAATGATCCATCCATGATGCACTTCATGTGCAATTTGGAACGCAAAAGAAGTCGTACACATATTATAAACATATATTTGTTAAATATATACATTTTAAATGATAATAATAAATTATTATTGATATAAGTATTATCAATAAATAAATTGATAACACTTATTTTGAATACTTCTTTGAATGTTCTTTAAATATTCCTTAATCATCATTAAAGTAAAGTTAAATAATTAATCAAATAAATGTTATTTAAAGTAATAAAGTTAACGAAGAAGAGAAAATAAATGTAAATTGCTAAAGTATCCATATGCTACAAATAAAAATTATAGTATAAATTAAATTAAATAATAGTAAAGCGTTTAATATGATCGACGCTGAATCTTGATGCTTAATGATACTTCTGTGTAAATTTTAAATATATTTTTTAATTATCTGGAAAAACATTTTTTATACATGAATGTATATATATATATATGTGTATAAACATAATTAAATACGCATAAATATTCATATACATATATAATTGTACATGAAATATGTTCATACATCTTTCTTTCTTTTGTAAAATTACTTTTTAGTGCACTAAAAATAATAAATTTAAAAAACATAAAAAATTGTTAATGCAACAATTCGCATTGTTGCAGAAAAAAATATTATATATTGGGTTGTCCGGAAAGTTCATACCGATATTGAAGGAAAATGGAAACGCAGAAGATTTAAATTTTTAATTTCATTTATAATATTTAAATCTATTGCGGCACGAACTTTCCGGACGACCCAATATATGGACATATTTTACACATAATGATATATAAATGTATATAAAATATAGCAATTTTTATATAATTATATGTGTTTTATATAATTTTATATATAGTTAATATATAATTGTATATATATATAAAACTTTTTCCCGAATCGTTTTAGAAAAAAATTAAGTTTTTTTTAAGTGGAAAAATGTAAAAAAATTTGTTCATATATATGTATAATTTTACATACAATTATATATGAGCAATTCTTTTACATTTCTCCAAACTTGGTGTTCCAGATTAATTGTCAAATATTTGTGTAGGTAGATTGGACTAAACTGAGTCGAAAAGTTCTCTTAAACCATTTTGTAATTTTCGCAATAGTTAACAAGATTAAGGATATTAATAACTAAAAATCACCGAATATTTGTCTTTATTCATTTTTTTCTCCAGTACTATTAATTTTACAGAAAAATAGCAAGAGACAAAAATTGTTTTCTTTTTATAGAACTCTAAGAATTTTTTCAGAATTTTTTATTTACTTTTAGTACTGCATTTTTTTATTGGCAACTATTTTTATCAATATGAGAAAATGCGGTAACTAAAAAATTCTCAGAATTCTATGAGAAGAAAATAAATAATTTTTGTATCTTACTGTTTTTCTGTAAAGTTGATAGTACTTGAGATAGTACTTAAAGAATTATTGAAAACCAATATTCAATGATTTTTAGTAACATTACATCTTGTTATAACTATTACGAAAATTGAAAAATGATAGAAGACTTTTCAATTCAGCTTAGTTCGCTCTATCTGCGCACAAAATATTTGGCGGTTATTCTGAGACACTCTGTATACATTACGTTAATATTATTTGTATATTAATAATTTATATTATATTAATAATAATTAATATTATTTTAATATTATACTATAGGATTATAGTAATATATATAATAGAAATTAAACAATATAAAAAGAATATATAAAGATTAAACATTAGATATGAATTGAACATATATAAGAATGATCATAATTGACATTTCATGATTAACTATCATAAATAAAAATTTATTCATTATTTGGTTATTCCAATAACGAATGGAAATTTATTAGTTATTTGATACTTATATTGGATAAAAATTAATTCATCATTAGGTCAGTTATTAATATTGAAATATAGAATGAATACAAATTGATTAGTTCATTTATTATTCGACCACATTTTTTTTTTTTATAAAATTTATACTATAAAACGTTATAACTTTTAAAGGAAAATTAATAAATTTATAAGGAAATTTTATATTTTATATATTCTAACTAATTTAAATACTTGTAATGACTTTTATGATTTTTATGAATTTGTATTGCATTGTGAATTTAAATGAAAAGATGCTCATTATAGCAAATATACGAAAGCGTTGTTGTAAAATTAACTTGACTTATTTGCTGTGTATTATTAAACATTTATAATTGTGTCGATTTAGTTGAATTTTCATTCATGTCACAATGTATGTCGCCACACACATTTTTTTACGCATTTCTTTTCGCTTATACATCAAATTCCGCAGACGGAATCCAATTTCATAAGCATATTATGAGATTTAGAGCACTCGTTATTACACGAAGAAAAATTTACAAATCAATATAAAATTTTTTTATGCACATTGTATGTTAAAAAATATAATCTTTTAATTAATTTATCTGTTCTTAATTTTTTGTTACATTTACAATAGCCTGGGAAAAAAATTTTTCATATTTCCATATATAATTATATATAATTATATAATTATATAAAATTATAT